AGAGGTAACTCCCTTATTGTAAATATTTACCAAAGACAAATAGATTTACATATCTCCATAGTGCTCGCAAGTTGAAATTAACTTGAAACAAACTTGGTGGCTCTCGCAAACAAAAGAACACCGTAAAGGTTGACTCGCGGAATACAATGAAATTATGAACATATGTGGGTTATAGAGCGATTCGAGACAAGAATACGGTACGTTCCATTCATTTACAGAGTGGTCCACGTAATTGTTTCAGGTCATAATTCCGTTATCAATGCATTTATAAAAAAATGCCCAAGGAGAAAGAGAAATGGCTTGAAGAGCACTACATCTGTAGGCCTTTAGATTTTTTTTAAGTGCAACAGTGTATGTGCAATTAACAATTGCATTATTTCTTTAAATAGAATTGCATATTGTCTGTTATATAGATCGATTCCCCTGTTCATTCTACGTACAAAATTATTAAGGTACTATGGCAAAACAATTATTAGTTTTCGAGATATTTGAAAAAAATGTATTTGCTGAAGAAGATACTCAAATGCTTCTCCATTACATTGTACACATTTCTGATAACGTTGTTTTATTGTTTTCATAACTTTGATTAAATTATTTGTAGTTATTGCTACATATTCCAGTATGATCCTTTCTTTCAGATCCTCCACAGAATTTATAAACGGTATTCACGTTAAAGACATTTTTTGAAAATATCTCGAGAACTAATCATTTTTTTTCCATGGTATGCTAATAATTTTTTACGTAGAAGGAACAAAGGAATCAATCTGTGTAACAAGCAACAGGTATTTCTATTTAAAGAAATGATGCAATTTTTTACAAGATTAAACCAATTCTACCTTACACATGTATTTACATATTATAAGACGTGTGCAATCGGCACAATTTCGAGCGCATGGCCGAAGCGTCAACTGGCTCGATGCGTAACCGCCAAGGCGTTGATTGTGGCACGCACCGTCGGAACTTAAATCGTAGGGCAAGGGGTTAAACTTTTGTTTGAAACATTTTTTTCTAGCTCTTGTACTTTAAAGCCAGATCCAGACACGTGCAACGCGCATTGCAGAACACTCTTGAAAGGGCCAATTTTAATGGGTCGACACGCAGCTAACGACTTCGTGCAACGTCAAGCCGAACACGAGCATTCTGACGCGCATTGAAGAAAATATCAGAAGGAATGTCTATTTGTTAGCATACCTACCCGATCATTAATTACTGTGTTATAAAAAAGGAAATTTTATATTTCTGCCGGGCGTATAAAACATTAATTTTTAAAGAGTTACAAGCATACTTTTCTGTTGCATGCTGCTCAAGTGTGGACGAAATTTTGGCCGTGCGCCGCGTTGCGCGTGTTCGTGCTCGCTGTTGCACGTGTCTGGACCTGGCTTAAGAGGTCATGCTCAGTCAGAACGCCGAAAAAAAGTGTTCTTTGGGAATTTTTTTCTCAAAAACTATAAGACCTTCATCAAAAAATGTGTTTGTGTTTCAAAGATTGCAGTTTCCAGATTATAAGGTAATTTGTTTATTTAAAAATATTTATTAGTAAATAAATGGTGAGCGATCTCCCGGATGTCTCTTCACAAAAAGTGGTCTGCCGTGATCACTGTAACTTCGTAACGGTTACGAATTTGAAATTAAAAATTCAGTAAGATTTATGTAATGGAAGAACCAATTTTGTCCTCGAACGTGAGGTTTCTCGAAACATTGATTAGGAACAAAATGGCGAACAATTTTCTGAAAAAGTGCTATTTTCACCTAAAAATCACTCGTTTTTGGTCAATTAAAAAAAAAGTATGGAACGAAAAAAAAATCCTTTGTTCAAGGACAAGTTGTTCTGATTTGAAATAAGGCGCAAAAGGCTTCAGGTAAATCGACACAGTAGTTTTCGAGAAATATTGATCACCGCTTTGAAAAATGTAGTTTCGAGAAAAACGCGTATAAAGTTTCAAGTCAACCTTACACTTACATAAAATGTTCATTTTTTAACGCCTGTAATTCTATCATTTTTAATTGGATTACCTTGAAACTTGCACAGAATATTCTCGAGATGTTGCACTTGAAGAAAATGTAGAAAGTGAAAAATCGATTTTTTGAAAATTTCTGACTGAGCATGACCCCTTAAGAGTTATGCGGGAACAAGTGGCAGTGCCTATTTCACTTTGAGGTTAGTTTTCATACCCTTAAAGGGCGATTGGGCACGAATCAAATGTATCGTTATTCTTGTCTTGAATCACTCTATAAACCCAAAACGTTTCATTCTAATCCATGAGTCAGTGTTCACGATGTTCCCTTGTAAGAATAATAGCAAGATGAGTTCTCTAGAAGCTTAATCCCAACGTTGCTCGAATTTTTTTTAACTGTAATTAATTGAAATTATTACAAATCAATGATTTTTATAAAAAATATACTTCATTGATAATACTTAAAGGGAGATACAATAAACAAATCAGAAGTTAAGTTGTCAATTGAGAATAAGTTACAGTCAGTATTCTTCTCGGCTGATAATGAAAATCGAAGGAATATCGATTTTCGCGAGATCGAATACGCCATTAACTCTCATAGTGCTCTTTACTTGGACTTCGGATTTATTGATACTTCTTACTCAAAGGATAGAGGGATAAATAATTATCTGGAATTACAAAGACGATCTCAAGCATGGTTTAGGTGTTTCTATAAGATGTGAACCACTCGACTGTAGATTTTGTTTATTCGTAGTATGTACCTACTATTGCCTAAAACTCAGAATAGTAAAGTTTAACCCTCTGGCTACGAAAGGCTATACAGGTTATCCCAAAGTAGGTGTAAGTTCTTGAAAGGGGTAATTCCTTTGGTGATTTGAAAAAACTTTTTCCTTAGCGAAAAAGTTCTTCGAGACTATGTTAACGAGATATTAGTGAAAAACCCCGACCAATCAGAGCGCGAGTCTGTCGACTAAGCTTCCGCGGTAGCGCGTAGCCAACGTTACTGGAGGAGTTCAGCCGGCAAACTCGCGTTCTGATTGGTCGGGGTTTTTCGTTAATATCTCGTTAACAAAGCCTCGGAGGACATTTTCGCTAAGGCAAAAGTTGTTTCAAATCACCTCAGGAATCACCCTTTAAAGAAGTTACAATTATTTTGGGGCACTGTGTATGTACGCCCTCACATGTCTATCAATATGAGTATGTATACGAAAGCTTTATATGTATATACGTCTTCTAAATTTTTCTTTCTACAACATATTTACTGTTTTACTAAACTGATCTAACATACAATTTGTATATATTTTTTTTTTACGACATACATGTGCTTATCGCGTCGTATATATATGTATACAATATATTAATGGTTCCGTGCGACATTGCTTCGCAGTCAAAGATTTAATGAAGGTCAGTTAGGTTTTCATCTTATTTGGAACTTGATAAAACCTCCAACCGATTAAACAAATTCTATGTTCAGAACATGGAAGTTATCTTGTTCGTAAAAATACAAAAGAGTATCGATAAATCCGAGAAGGGAACACTAGAAATAAACATCGTAAAATGATTTATGCGCACTTTAAGAAAGTTTAGTGAGGTTTTTACTTTATTTGGAACATAATAGAGTCCGTAACAGAAGAAACAAATTCTCTTTTGGGTCACCGTAATTTGTAAAAACGGAAAAGTGTACTATAGAACAGCCGGGAAAGAGACACTATAGGATTAAACACTGCGAAATGTTCAATCGAGCATAACGAAGTCCTTACTTTATTTGGAACTGGGTAAGATTCTAAAAAGGCGAAACCAAATTTCTCCGGGTTATCAAAGTTTTCGTCAGTAAAACCTTGTCATGGTATCGAGTACTATGGGAATAAACATTCTAAATCGTTTGATAAAACACAACGAAATCTTTATTTGGAACCCGGCAAGATTCTGAATAAATGAAGCCGCATGCAGGGTATCGAAGTTCTTGTCAGTAAAACCACAAAAAGTGCCATTTAGTGATAAACCGATCCAAGTAAATGCAATAATCGATACTTTCTTTCGATACCGAGTATTTTTCGTATCGATACTTTCTGTTGTGATATATGCTCGGTATCGAAAAATTACTCATGTCGAATGGAGCCAGTAATCGATGTGAAAGCTAATGAATATGAAGGTGGTTGTCGTCCAGTTATATTACCTTGTTAATAAATGTTCGTTCATAAAATATGTCTTCGTAAAGAAATGTTCATTAATGAAATATATCTTCGTTGAAATCAGAAATCGGTAAATTCATTATCTTGATAAAGAGTTTCGAATAACGAATAAAAGGTAAAAAAGTACTTCGTCATTTTTAATCGTTTAACGTGGAAATTCCGATTTTTATAACAAACAATAATACTTCGTCCTGAACGAGTCGGTATTTGGCAAACAATTATTTAATCTCATTAACTGTTTAAAGCTCAGAATGACGCCTTTAGATACTACAGCTTTTCACTTATACTCAAATCTAGTTAAAATATACCACATTAAATGAACAAGAACTTTGTATTCATTTTCTTTCGATACAAGGAGGTATCGATGCTTTTGATGCGATACTAAATAGATATCGATACCTTTCATCGATACGAATTATCAGTAAAAGTATCGATACATTGACGGTATCGGTTTATCCCTTGCCATGGTAGCGTGCATCATAGGAGTAAAGACAATATCGGATCCGTTATTCTTTCCTTCCGCGAGTGACGCTTCACACGTTGCGTGGCATTCGAGATAACGCCGTTTATTTCGAACACAAAATCGAACAGAGGGGAAAGGCTCTCTAGCGCGTAGCGGTTGTTAAACCGCTCGAAATAGGATAACGCGTTAATGTCGAAAGCTAGTTGCCGGGAAATTTATGCCCGGCGCACCCGGTGCGCGTCGGGTATCGAAGACACGTTACATATCGAATACTACAAGTCGGCTACTAGGGAATTTATATCGACGGGAGATGGACGGGATAGAATGGTAGACGCTTTAAATAGGCGATTGGATGCAGACGGCTCTACAGAGACACGAAACGCACTACGATCAGGCTTCCTGAAGCTCTCCCTTGATCCCGGGCACGCTGTGGTGGTGCCTGGACGCGAGCTTGTTCGCGAGCTCGTGCATCACGTCCCTGTATATCACCGTGTCCAAATTCTCCCCGAGCATGTACAGGAGGAACCAGTCGCCGACCTTGCTCCGTCGGACGATCGTCTCGATCGACTCCCTACGGACCAGACGAAACCGTAGTCGGAGAAGGTAGACCCTCGTTCGCGGCGAGAATATGATTACGATCTGCAACATGAGGGATAGAGTATGACCAGTGTTTATTGGTCCACTGGAAAATTGTGGGGAAAATCATTGTTCTAACTTATCACTGTAAATGTATGGATAAGATATAGTAAATATGAAATATTCCATAATAATTAATTTACAAAATATTACATTACCACTCTTTATAATTAACATTTTTTTAAAAGCATTAATGGGTTATTGTACCTGTATTTGTTTCATTTACGTATTTCTCTGTAATATGTTATATTAAAATATTTTCTTCCTTTTCATTGACTCTATACAGTAAATCCTCAAAGGGTGTTGGTAAGCTCGTCGGCATTGAACATTAAATATTTCATAAACTAATGGCCATTGCGACTGAAACAAATATCATTGACTTCAGAATTCCGACCCCTATCCCTGTGCTAAACCTCCTTACAAAGCCATCGTTACACCCGAGGACTTCTTGCTAGTGTTGGGAAGCCTCCGAACACTCATCGAGAATTGACTGTATTCCCATTGACAGAGATAATTCTTAATGGATCTTTAGAACTATGAGTTAATAGATCGAGGAACTTGTAGTTTTTCGTACATGTTTGTATTTCAAGAAAGCATGGTGATAATTTTTATGCAATTATTCGTCTACGCTAGATGTCCCAATTACTGCCACATTAAGATTGCAGCATAACTGAATTTAATCATTTTACGTGTTATTCAACTAAAGATAGACTAAATTCATGAGAGACGCCATATGGGAAAAAACGTCACTCTTCTTATATATCTCGATTGGTAGAAGTACAGGTGACAAAATCTTTAATTCGAGCAAACTGTAGGTGAACTCTTTGAAGCACAGTGATAAGAAACACATACCACACTTTCACCTGAATATAAAAATGTCGCATATAAAATGTGGTATATTTTTCTTACTACAATGCTTCAAGGAGTTAAAGCTGAACTTTAATAAAAAAACAGTAGGGTAAATTCAGGAGAGACGCTGCATTTGTAATATCTTCCGATTGGCAACAGATAATTTCATATGTTGTGTCGTTTTGTAATCCCACTAGTGTGCCGCAGACAACAAATTGTGACACAAACACGTGTCGTTTCCAGGAAGCATTAAAGGAAAAACTGTGCAAAAAATTTCGTCAAAATTTGGTGTGTATGTGACACATTGATTCCTATGACAAGCTTAACAGCGACAGAACAATAGTAGCTATTTCATTGTTCAATATGGTTTCTTATTCATGAGTAAACACGGTGATTTTGATGTTATAAATATATGTATTTTGTTTTGTTTTTTGGACATACATACGGCTTCTCTCACACAACATGAAAAACGACGCCACAAAGTTATAGGTGCTCTGGCTGGCTTATAATGATCGAATTATAATATAAAATCATAAATATAATATTAAATGATAAATATAATATTGCATAGAATGTTGGGAAAAATATTTTACTACCAAAAAGACAACTGACTGGATTAAATGCTGCTCATGCCAAAAATAGTTCTATGAGTTTGGCACAATGTATGCCCTACAATGCAACAACTGTGAGAAAGAAAATATAAGAGAAAAAATGATAAGAAAGAGAAATTAGTGCATGTTACATCTCGCCCCATGCGTGTGACATCTCACCTACAAGATTTGAGAGAGACGTCACTTTGTCGACCTATCATCTTTAACAATTCTTCTTGATTTTGCCTGAGAAATGTTTACAATTGTTTATATTTTTTCGTGGTATATAAGCATGTTAATGTAACAAAAAAAAGATCGTTTGAATTAGTAAAAACCAAAAATACTTATTGGCTCTCAACTAAAAATGTTGGCGTCCTTTTTGAATTTACCCTATTTGATAAGTAAAATTTACGCGTAAGTAATACAGGGTGTCTCAGTTTTGCCCACAAAACTTTACCAACGCATATTCTATGAGCCAAATTAAAAAAAAAATGTTATATAATCATAGACCTTTAAATGCTTCATTAGAAAGTTATCACAAAAATACGAAGTAATAATGAACTGCTTTCTTGTGACTCCAGTGGTTAAATGATCATTATCCTTAACGACTGATAGGTCGAGGAAGGCCAAGTCCTTGGCCCCCAAGATTACTAGATATCACACCAACAGATTTTTACTTGTAGGGGACTGTGAAAGAAAATGTTTGTCAAACACAAATTATGATAATATGCGTCAGGAATTAATGCAAAGAATTCGTGATGTGTTTTCTGCAATTAAAGAAAATAAACAAGAAATTAGTAATGCAATAGATTCTATTCTCCCTAGGTGCATTCATAATAATAGGCAACATTTTCAAATAGAATTAGAATGTCAACCGAGGACAAGAAAGCAGTCCGTTATCATTTCGTATCTTTGTTATAATTTTTTAATAAAGCATTTAAAAGCCTATGTTTATGTAATATTTCTTTTATTTTTGCTTATAGAATAAACTGGTAATGTTTTGCGGCAAAAGCTGAAAAAATTATAATTTATAATTTTAGTATAAGAAAGAACGAGACAAGGTATGGAAGAATGAATGGGAAAATCATAATTCTAAGCCAAACCTCATTCTGTAGACGATAGGCAAATATTCACTGCGTGGCATAACTATAAAACCACCCTAAAATTTTCATCTGTTATGTATTGTGGTTAAAATAAAAACAAACCAAGTATGCCATGTTTGCAATTGTGTTAAGAATAAATGTTTCTCCAGAAAAGGATAGATTGTATTCCTTAGAAAAAAATGGTTCGTTTTTATTTTAACCACCATACATAAGGATTTAAAATTTTAGGGTGGTTTTATAGTTATGCCACGTAGTGTATATATCTATATAGTTTCAAAAATTAATAAATATATATACAGTGAAAGTCAAAACTAAGTATACACTTTACAAAGATGAACTTCGTGTAATACTTCTGTAACATCCTACAAAACATTTTCGCAGTAAATAGGCAGCCCAAAAATTGAAGAAAGAGAAATTCGGAGTTATAACCACTTGGTTTGGAGCAGCATGGCAATTTCTGGTGCAGGACAGTTGGTTTTTATTGATAGTACTATGGACAAATTAGAATGTTTGAATATTTTCAAATCAAATTCAACTGCAACTGCATTCATGGGTTTTTTAGTGAAAATTGTTTACTGGAAAACAGTTTCAATTGGTTAAATCCTCCTCCACAGTCACCAGATCTCAATGCAATAGAGCTTCTACGCGAAATATTATATTCTAAATTCAGAAAAATAAATATGAATGAATCCTATACTTTGAAAGTGTATACTCATTTTTGACTCTCACTGTGTGTGTGTATATATATATATGTTACTCACCCTGTATAAAACCGTGATGAAACTAAGCACGCCGAGAAAGAGGAACCAGAACCACAGAAAAACGTATATCTTCTCGTTGACTACGTTCAGGGGTAATATGCAGACCGCGTCGTGTCTCTCCACCTCGCCGCTGACACCGTATTTGTAGAAGGTGCATTTGGTCATTCGAGGAAACACGTAAATCATCGGATCGACCCGATCTTCCTGGTCCGACTCCAGGAACCTGAGTACGTCGATACCAAACGTCAGAAAGGCACCGTCGAAGAAGCGGTTCATCAGAAACATTTGACCTGCACAGATTTTAAGTACCACTTTGTATAATAATTTCGCAGTTTTCATGATTTTGTAAGATCTATAATTTTTATTACATATAACGCTCCCTCTCCTCTCCTCACCGATTAAGTTTACCACGTTTGGCGTCGATTTCTTATCTTTCAGCTGTGTTCCTTCTTTTCTTTTTAAAGTGATATAGGTCTAATTCTGAGAAAATGATTTAAAGCTAATTTTAATTACAGAATGGATTGCTTCTCTTTTTATATGTATAATAGCAAAGTCAATACAATATTCTCATGAATTAGTCAAAAGAAGTTTGGCTGTTAAGTGGAATTGCAACTATTAACCCTCCGCAGACGGTGCCGGAGTCACACGTCATGCGCTAGCGGACTCATCGACTTGTGACGTTGTATGCAAAAGGGCCGGGCTAGGACGCCGCAGAAGTATTGACTCATGTCTTCGGCTCACTCTATTTCCTTTTTCACGCACTGTCCTTTCTTCTAGTCGACAAAACTTCTACAGTGTCGGTAAGGGCCTCGAGCTCGAGCCACCGTAACTTTGCGTTAGTAACCTATCGATGTGAGTCAAAAATGATCCGGCTACGGACGCCCCGCGAGTCCAGTACTCACAGAGTTAAAGATATGAACTTGACTGTTCTTTCATTTTAATCGTAAAGGATCGTTCTTTCCAAGTAATTGTTTGCTTTATACGTAGATTTATTTTTGCAATACAAAGATATTAAAAATATGTTCTTTTGCGAAGGTAGTTTTCGTAAAAATCGTTGAAAATTTTCAACTTTGAAGGTCTGTATTTTTATTATGATGTATTTGAAAAAATAATGACTTAAATCTCCACTATTTTCTCGTGGACTATAACGTATTTCAATTTCAGCAAAATCCCAGACATCGTGTACAAAAGTGATCCATGCGGCGTGGAATAACCCTTCACAATAATTCAGTATGGAAATTATATTCTACGTCATCACAGTGTCGTTATAATATCCTCGAAACAGAAACGTGTAGTGTTATTATTTGAAACAAAACATGAGATCATTAAAAGATGAAAGAATGGCGACAGTATGACAAAGTTAGCAGCAAAATATGCTGTCGGGAAAGCTACGATCAGTGGTATCAAAAATAGGGAACGAAAGATCATTTAACTAATATTATTATGTTTAAAATATATGAAGTTTCACGTGATAAAAGTAACGATTGTATTATTCGAAACTTCTGTCATCCAAACACTTTTGTCTTCCAATTAGTTTCGATTAGGAATGGACTCGTCGAGAAGTCGAAACCTCGGAACCCTTTCAAACCGAAGAAAAATTCGAGTTTCGAGAATTCAAAACCTGGAATTTTTTTCGTGATTTCAAATTCTTAAAACCCAGGTAAGAAAAAATATAGAATTGATTAATAAAGAATCCTTCGTTACTACTAAAAAAGAATAAGTGAATATATTGTTATGTTTTTCTTTGTGTTTCGTTTAATTATGGACAATAAAGATTTATGCAAAAACTTTATCGAGGCTTCAGTTCATAAAATAAAATCTTACAAAACAAAATCAGCATTTCAATTTTCAAGAGTTTCAAGATTCGAAATTTTACGATGTTTTGGATTCGAAATTCGAGAATTTGAAAAATTAGGTTCCAACCAAATTCTAGTTTCGATAATCGAGGTTCCATTGTATTTGCCGGTCTCTGCCATGCCAAGCGTACCGTTTATCAGGTCACTTGAGATGGCCCGACGAAAGTCACTATATTTATTTAAATAAACGTAAAAACGCCAGAGGCACTACAAGCTAATGTCGTTCCACATGGCGTTGGGACGCGACTCCAAGCACAGCTGTGTCTGGAATAAAGTGATAGAAGCCAGATCCGCTGTCACGCATCCGTCAGACGACTCTAACCACTTAAGGTGGTACATAGGTATTAGACAGCTAAAATGAACGGTTTCATTTGGGTCGAATTGAACAGGCCTTAATAACTCAAACCATTCGCACGATTTACAATACTTTATTGTGCATATAACACATGTTTTAAAACGAACAAACCTACAAAATATTAAAAATTAAGTGAAATGCACGAAAGTGAACGCTGCGCAATGTGCTCGTCCAACTAGTAACCGTCATTCCACATGAATGACCTCATCTAAAAGCAAAGCCATCGAAAATAAGTATTCTCATCTTGTTCAAATTTAATTTCCAATTTGTTAATAACGAAAAAGCACACGATATTTTTCATGGAAATTTCATATTTCCACTTCGAACGACAGTGGCTATTTTTTTATGAAAATACAAAATTAAAAATCGGACATCGTCACCGACTTCTAAATTTCAATTATTTTCAAAATCCCTACGATTTTTGTTTTCCGATACACGGTTTGTAAATTCAATAATTAATATTCAATAAATGCAATGGTAGTTAGAGCTGGGCTTGAGGTAAAATTATCGGCTGAAATAATGTAGCTCTACCGTTTAAACGTTCTTTATAAAATGTACATCGTAAAAGACAAAATTGGTTGCGGTGACCTAGAAGTAACAGCGTCGGAATAAAAAAGCTTTTCCCTGGAATCAAAAAGTGCTAAATACACACAGCTTACACATTCGGTATACCAACAAGTCGTCCACTATTTCTTCTAATTATAAGGCAATACATTTAAAATTAAAAATATCTGTTCAATTTTTCACTCAAATAAAAATGGTGTGTAGGGTGTTGGAAAATCATTATCAATATAAGTGGTACACAGTCTAGATCCCTGATTTCCATAGTAGGAGAAAGTTCCCTCATTTGGATCGGATCCTAAATTAGACCAGTTTGTATTCATATACATATAAATTAGAGGTATGCGAGTACTCGAATTTCAAGTTAAATTATGATCGATCGGTCGAGCCGAGTCGAACGTTTGAATTTTTCAAACTACTTGAAATCGGCGAACTGTTTGAAAAAAATGCGAGCTACTTGAAAAACTCAAACGGCCCGAATATTCAAATGCTCGTTAGATTTCGATTTACTGGAAGATGAATTTTCAGTTCCAAACAAATTTTCAAACTACTCGAATATACTCGAACAGATCTTTAATTTTCGAGTTACTGGTAAATATTCGAATTGCTCTACTTACTCGAATATTTACCTACTTACGATGAAATACTAATCTAACTATAAGGAAGAAAAATGTAAGACTTTACTTTAACGATTTTGTTTTTTTTTTTTTTTCATTTCTTGAAATGATTTTTCTTCCTTACAGTTAGATTAGTATTTGATAGTAAATAGATAAATATTCGAGTACTTCGAGCAGAATATTTACAAATAACTCGAAAGTTAGAGATCTGTACGAATATATTCGAGTATATTTTCGAGCTGAAAATTCATCTTCAAGTAAATCGAAGTCTAACGAGCGCTCACATATTTGAGCTTTTGAGTTTTCCAAGTAGCTCGAATTTTTTTCAAAGAGTTCGTCAATTTCAAGTAACTCTGAATATTCAAACGCTTAACTCGATTTGAGCAATCGAACCAAGTTCAACTTAGCTCGTAAATTACGGGTATTCGCGCACCCCTAATATGTACATACTGCTTCGTAACAGCAAAGAAACAGAACAACGTAGAATTAATAATTAACTACAGCGTGATGAATGTTGTGTTCTGATGCCAGCTAATATAATTTTGCCTCTAACTTGTATAAGCTGTAACTTTTGATTGGTAGATAAATTTTGAATTCTTGTGGGTATAATGTTTTAAGAAGGGGCATACCTTTAATACTATTGTAACATTTACGTGATACTTGACTTAGTTTATGTTTATTACACCTAAACGTTAAAATTAGGTTAGTTTCTTAAATTGAACTATCTAATGGTTCTTAAGTTGGACCGATCCAGATTATGATACAGGAAGATTGCCTTTATGTTGTTTGTTTGTCTGCATTTTCAGAATCAGTTATGGAAGAATAGTGGATTCAGTGTCTTTAATACCGATTACTATGAGTGCATAAACTGACAGTCTAACAGCGACTGATTATTTTGTCAAATCCATGTTTTTTTTCTCAGTATACTGTGACATGATCCTCAGACTAATCTTTTTTTTATAGAATTTAAGTATACTTTTAAATAGAAGTTCCTACCTAAAATAACCTAAAATAAATATGGTCCAATTATGATATCTGTCATCCAAATTAGGAAACCAGTTTCCTAAATTGGACCATTGACGCTATTTCGAGAACATTCTTTTGTAACTATCCACACAGCATTACAATCTGTTTTATTAGATTTATATATCAATCACAATGCTGAAATTGTTCTCAAATTTTTCTGCTCGAAACTATGAACACATTTCCGATTTATAGAGGTACTTTCTTAAGTGGTTCAATATTGGGAACTTTCCCCTATAGATTGAAACCTTTATATCCATCGATAATGTATCTAATACTTAGCAGTTTAAAAAGTACTTTTAATTCGAATGTCGTGAAATGTTACCATTACAGTAATAGGATATTTACCGGAAAGTTAGTGTTCAAAAATACGTCCATCAGCCTCGATGAAGTCAAACTCAGAAATTGAAACGTCCCCTAAACTAATAGTTCTACGGCATAAATAGCTTAACACGTTTCATGTATAGTAGGCCATCGACAAATCTCCCTTCTGGTCACTGACGATTCTTACAATCAATGCAATACATTCGGTAACAATTATTTCTAATTATTCCAAAGTAAAATTTACCGGGGCCAGATGTTACAGGGGCTAGTTGTTACAATGGGGTTTGAATTTTAGCAGCTTGCAGCAGCACATTGAAAATTAAGTGGTTAATGTGTTTCAACCATACGCAAATGCACTTTGTATTATATTGTTTTGCAATCGCCTCACATCTTCCGACGTTATTAGAGTTTTTATGTTTTCAGGTACAGAAGTAAGTTTCTCTAGTTCAAACTGTTCCATCAAACAATCAAAAATATATATTTATTTACTCATTTGGTTTATTCATTTGTTTATTCATTTATGCATGGATATGTTTATTCATATGTTTACTCAT